CAGGGAAAGGGGGCTGCGACTCGAGAGATTGGGATTCACCCAACATGCACCCGCCTCGATCGGTACTTTGACGCGGATGGGACAAGACAAAACACACACGCACTCGTAGCTATAGGTACACCATGACGTCCGAATTAGGGTACGTACGTATGACAACCTTGAAAACACACACATGCACACACATATGGCGCAAGCACGTGTGCATTTGTACGACGACACGGGGACACACAGTCCTCTTCCCCCCAAACACGTCACCTGGCCACGGTAAACAGCAGCAATTGCGCGACCTTGGAGAGCGCTTGTCGTACAACCGCGGCAGACGGCGGCATCGCTGCCGTTGCGGCGGCGCCGGCGGCGGCGGCGACCTCGACGGTCATTGCGTGTCGCAGCCGAAGCGCCCTGCCCGCCCCCACCCCCACAGCTTCCAGCCCGACGGTTCCTGGAGGCCCACCTCTGACAGCCCCTGCCGCCGCCGCCGCCGCCGCTGCTGACGGCGCCGCCGCCGCCGCAGCGAACACCCCCGACGGCGTCGCTCCCATTACCATACCTAGAATGAGGAACACGCCCGGGGACGGGGACGGGAACGGGTGGGGCTGGCGGAGTCTGACAACAGGGGGAGACAGAAAGTGAAGTGACTCACTCTTCACCCGACTCAACATCCATCTGTACCCGGGACCTGCGACTCGCAACCAGCGCTAAATTACGTTACACGGCAGGTACAGCAGGTACGGCAGGTACGGCAGTACGGTCCCACCTCCATGATGCCTTAAGAGACCGGAACCCCCCAAAACCAACAACAACTACAACAGCAACAATAACAATAAACAACAACACGACCATGTTTGTACAGAGACACATACAGAGAAACACATCACCTCCCTCTCCCCCCACGAGGGGGGAGAGTGCTTCGGCAGTCGTTCCCCTTGGGGTACGGGTAGGTGGCCCTGGCCAGTGTCAGGCCGATCGGATCGATCTGTGACAGACACACGTACAGAGGTACACTTGCCGTGACGCAGCGCAGCGTGACTCGACACGCGGGAGGAGACGCGGGAGGAGCCCACCGCCGTGGCCGACAGAGACTCAGACGCGTCCGTGTAACCCCACCCGCCAGCCTGACTGGTAGCGGTCGTGGTGATGCTGCTGCCGCCGCCGCTAGCAGCGGCGGCGCCGCCGCCGCTGCCGCCGCTGCTGCTGTCGACGGACGACGGCGAGTCGGGCGACGACGCTGCGCCGCCATTGGCAAGCACCGCGCTGCTGCTTCCGCCAGCAACGTCGCCTTCGGGACGGTTGGAGGGTGACGCCGCGTCGGCGGCGGCGGCGGCGGCCGCCGCCGCCGCGGCGGCGGCAGCGGCCCTAATCGCCGCTGTGTATACCTCTAGGACTTGGCCCAGATCGGTGATTAGCCTGTAGCGGGTTGTAGCGGAGGTTGAGGTTGTAGCGAGTTGTGATGGGTTGTGATGGGTTGTGACGGAGGTTGAGGTTGAGGTAAAAGCAGAGCGATGACGAAGGGCGGGAAGCATCGGGCGGGGATACGCGCGTTAGTGATTGCGGCGATGGCGGCGGCGGATGGGGGCGACACTAAAACGCGCCACGGGGGGCCCAAGAAGCACTTCAGATAGTCCCTTTTCCCTTTCCAGCATTTGCGACATTCATTTAAGGCCACTTTCATTTCCACTTCCACTTCCCAGCTTTCCCGCCCTGCCGCTCAGCAGCGACCTCACCCACCTCTGCCGTTCATGCTGCTGCTGCTGCTGTTGAGGGGGCGTTGGAGGTTGCTGCCCGATCCCCAAGCCACCGCTACTGCTCGTGCTGCGGTTGGCGCTGTACTGCATCAGCTCGTCCAGCTCCGCCGCCGCGGTGCCGTACCCCTCCGGCAACACGAGCACCGGCCACCAGCCACCCAGCAGGTGGCCCACACCCACCTCGACAACCAGCAGCCCCACTGCGTCTGCCGGCACCGCCACCGATATTCGCCGCGTACGACCGCTGTCACCGCCACCGTCACTGCCGCCGCCGCCGCCGGCTGCTGTAGTAGTCACCGTAGCAGTAGCAACTGCATCTCCGTCAGCGGCGGCGGCGGCGGCTGCGGCGGCGGCAGCCGGGACGTCCGCGAGCAGGTCGGCGGCCGGCAGGTCATGGCCACGCAAACGCGCAAACACCTTGAAATGCGGCTGAAGCAGGTTGCTGCCGTACAACTCCAGAACGGCTTCGGATCCTGAAGCGCCGAAACCCGAGGAAAGAGCGGGCACAGACAGACAGACAGACAAACATATGTGTGTCCAGTAGAGGTAGAACGGCAAGGGGGGCAAGCGGGGGTCCGGCCATGGGGGGACATCAAGTTCAAAAGAGAGCGCACGGCTGTCAGGTGTACAGCCCTGGTAGCATAGCCTATTTAGGACTCCTTCCCGACTCACCCGCGCAAACCGCCGCAGCGCTGCAGTCCAGCAGCGAGGGCATCTTGGCACCCGATAGGCCGCCATCCTCGGCCGCCTGCTCCCAGCTGGTGACCCGTGGGTCTTCTCCCACTCGGATTTGAAGCACTTGGTCGCCGACCTGCCAACAACACACAGGTAAAAAGTGTGAGAGGGGCCGTGAGGGAGAGAGTGTGTAAAAATTACAACAGCTCCGGTTATTGGCAGTCCTACCCCCTTGACCCATTGACCCATTGACCAAACGTACAACTTGAATAAAGAGCGGGTTGTGGCGTGCACCTTTATATTGTATTATTATCAACGTATTATCAAAGGTGTGTATGATAGCGGGGGAAAGACGAACCACACACGATTGAAGCTGCTGCCAGGGCCAGAGAGTAGCGGCGGGGTTGGAGCGTTGTACACGCAGGTCAAGTACATCAGGCATTGCATGATTTCATGCAAGGACGCAAAGGATGCTAAACTGGCGCTGTGTTCAGCACAGGGACGCGGAGCTGGTAACGGAGCTGGTAACGGAGCTGGTAACGGAGCTGGTAACGGAGCTGGTAACGGAGCTGGTAACGGAGCTGGTAACGGAGCTGGTAACGGAGCTGGTAACGGAGCTGGTAACGGAGCTGGTAACGGAGCTGGTAACGGAGCTGGTAACGGAGCTGGTAACGGAGCTGGTAACGGAGCTGGTAACGGAGCTGGTAACGGAGCTGGGAACGGAGCTGGGAACGGAGCTGGGAACGGAGCTGGGAACGGAGCTGGGAACGGAGCTGGGAACGGAGCTGGGAACGGAGCTGGGAACGGAGCTGGGAACGGAGCTGGGAACGGAGCTGGGAACGGAGCTGGGAACGGAGCTGGGAACGGAGCTGGGAACGGAGCTGGGAACGGAGCTGGGAACGGAGCTGGGAACGGAGCTGGGAACGGAGCTGGGAACGGAGCTGGGAACGGAGCTGGGAACGGAGCTGGGAACGGAGCTGGGAACGGAGCTGGGAACGGAGCTGGGAACGGAGCTGGGAACGGAGCTGGGAACGGAGCTGGGAACGGAGCTGGGAACGGAGCTGGGAACGGAGCTGGGAACGGAGCTGGGAACGGAGCTGGGAACGGAGCTGGGAACGGAGGTGAGACGCAGGACGGCATGCATTTTCAATGGAGGAGGACTGGAGACGAGGCGGCAAGGCGGGCGGGCAGGCGGGTATGGTCCCTCCCCTCCCCTCCCCCCTTTCCCCCCTCAGCCAGTGCCACCGCCATCAACAACAACAACAACAACAACCACTGCCAGCAAACCTCCCTCCCTCCCTCCCTCACCCATCCCACCTGCACATACGTGTCTCGGAGCCTCTGGCCCATGAACCGAAACACGTCAGCAGCGGCCTGTTCCGGGTCGTGGCGAGGGATCAGCAGCGATGACAGCGGACCAGCGGCGGCGGCGGCAGCGGACCGCTGGACGTCCACCACCAGCTGCAGGCAACCTGCGGGACAGGTGGCAGGTGGCGGATGACGTCACGTGACGAGGCCGACAGATGGCAGCATGCGGCGATCGTTGCGAGTCGCAGGGGGGATTTCAACCAGGCTTCTTTTCGTGTTGGATCATGCAGGGTTTTCGAAGTTTTCGAGGTTTGACGATTCGATCTGTGGCGGCCTTGACGAGGCTGGAGGGGAGGGAACACTGAACGGACGAAAGGAGCAGAATCAGCTAGACGCGCTCTAACGCTGCCACCTCGCCGAAGCCAAAAAAACACATCAACAGATTTCCCCTCTCCCCTCTTTCTTCCCCCCCACACACCCCAACCCCCCCATACA